GATACTAATATTTAAAATTATGATATTTTTATAAATTAAAAATAAGTTTAAAATGATCATTTTTAGTCTTTCAACTTTTAATATATGTATATTTTTCGTCCATCTACTTTAAATTAAGGGACTAAAAATGTTTATATTTAGATAAATTTAACAAAATAATTGATAGAAGGTTAAATACCTTTTTTGGTCCCTCTACTATAGGAAAAAACCCTTTTTTGGTCCCTATACCGAAAAAATTCCTTTTTTGGTTATTACTGTTCACAAATCCGGCCCCTTTTTAGTCCCTCCGTTAAATTTTGGCTGATGTGGCAGGTTAATTAACGGAAAAACTCATTTTGTTTTTTTTATTAAATTACGTGGAAAATCCACGTGGGAAAAATTGATGACATGCTAAATTTTTTACTTTTAATTACTGATTTGATGGATGACATGGTAACATTTTTTCCTTTAATTACTAATTTACCCTCTTCTTTCTTCCCCATCCTTTCTTTCGTCCGGCCTTTTCTTTTTTTTCTTTTTCTCTTTTTATCTCTAGGCGATGGGTTCGCGAGGTGCGAACGAACCCAGCTCGTGGGTTCACACCCAGGAGCCTGGGTTCACACCTCGCGAACCCAAGAACTGGGTTAACGAGGAACCCAGGCTCTTGGGTGCGAACCCAGGAGCTAGGTTCGCGAGGAACCCAGGCTCCTGGGTGTGAAGTGCGAACCCACGAGCTGGGTTTGCGAGGAACCCAGCTCGCGGGTTCGCACCCAAGAGCCTTTTTCTCCTTCATATTAACACTGGTTAGTTCATTGGTTCATTTTGTTTGTTCGTTATGGTTGTCTTTTAGGTTTTGCGAACCCAGGCTCTTGGGTTTGCTTAGAGGTAAAAGAAAAAAAAAAAGGCTAGAGGAAGGAGAAGCCGGGGAAGAAGACGAGGGTATATCAGTAATTAAAAGTAAAAAATTTAACATGTCATCAATTTTTGCCACGTGAAAAATCCATGTAATTTAATAAAAAAAAGAAAGGAGTGTTTTCGTTAATTAACCTGCCACATCAGCTAAAATTTAACAAAGTGACTAAAAAGGGGCCGGATTTGTGAACAGTAAGGACCAAAAAGGGAATTTTTTCGGTACAGGGATCAAAAAAGGGTTTTTTCCTATAGTAGAGGGACCCAAAAAGGTATTTAACCTTGATAGAAAGACTAAAAAAAATAAAAAATGGATTAAAAAAGTACATAAAAAAAGTAAATGATAAAAATTATATATGACATTAAAGTTGAGAATCAAAAATAAAATTTACCCTTTTAAATTTGAATTTGAATTGTACGGACAGCTTCGGTGTATTGCAGTTGCAGGCTTTGAAAAAGCCCTTAGCCCAAAACGACGTTTTGGGCTAAGGGGAATCTTTTTTTTCTTTTGAATTTGCAGTGTGTACCAGTCGAAATTCTGATGAACCGGTCGATATACCAAAATTTCGACCGATACACCGAATTTTAACTGAAATAACCAAATTTTGATTGAAACGAAAATTAATATTATATTATTTCGGTTAACTATCAAAACCGATACGTATCAGCCGGTTTTGACTTCTTTGTTCACGCGACATCCAGTGTCCACAAAGATCAACGTTTCAGATCATCTGTTCACCCGTCGCAACTTGGGGTGCACGCTTTACTCTCCTCCCTCAATAAAACA